TAAGGGTACATATATATATATATATGTATATCTATCTATATATATATATATGTAGATACAATCAAAACGTGCGTGTGTGTGTGTATATGTTGTGTGTGTGTTTCGGTATATATGTACGTGTCTGCAAAGTTTGTATGTATGTCTGTACGTGTGCTTTGTATAAAATCATGTACGTACATGCAAAAAACACCTACTGGCAACTTCAAGAACCCAAAGAACAACAACGTTTCTTGTCCAGTAGAACCGATAAGAAACCCATGAAACTCCTGCAACACCCTGTAACCCTAAGGGTCCATGTACCCAAATAGTATATACTTTGGCCTTAAAGTAGTCCCTATGGAGGTACTTTGGGGCCAAAGTATATACTATTTGGGTACATGGACCCTTAGGGTACACCCCGAGTGATGACCGATTGAAGAAGCCGGGACGGGATTTCAGTTGTCGAAGTCGGGCAGTCCAGTTTAGGGTTTAGGGTTTAGGGTTTGGGGTTTAGGGTTTAGGGTTTACGGTTTAGGGTTTCGGATTCGGTGCATACACACAGGACCGGATGCTGATGCTGAAGCGGAAACCCAGCAAGTGGTGGCCAAACTCTCGAGGTTGTCAAGTCCCGCACAAAACGCAACGGTTATGGTTATGGATTGAGCTTGAAGAAACAAAACGCAGGCCGTCTTCACACCAAACACCTGCGAAAGGACATACCAACGAATCCAAACAGTAGCACTCACAACACACGACGGACGAGCTTCAGCTGTGGTAAGTTGATTTTTTATCAGGGCTTCGTCTGTAGAGTTCAGGTTTCCAGTCTCAGGTGCATGATTACCATTTACTGGATTTCAGGCCTGATGTTGACGGTTTAGGGTTGAGGGCTTTAGGGGGTTTGGGGCTCCTGGTTTAGGGTTTGGCAAAGTCTCCCTGGCCTCGCGACCGCGTCCCTTTCCTTTGCCTTTCCCTGCCAACAAGGAAAGTGGCTGTATGTTAGCAATCGGAGAATCAGTAGGCGTCGTCGAAGCAGCGGTAGTTCTAGTAGTAGTAGTAGTAGTAGTAGTAGTAGTAGTAGCAGCAGCAGTAGCAGGAGTAGTAGTAGTAGTAGTAGCAGTAGCAGTAGCAGTAGCAGTAGCAGTAGCAGTA